GTAATTCGAATATATCTATATAATGTTATATATATATATATATAAGTATATTTTATATATAATGTTTATAGTATATAATATATAAGTATACTACTATAAGATGAGTAATACACTTATATTGAATACTTTAATATATAAAGTGTATATTAAGTAGATATAAGGAATATAATATATGTATGTAAAGTAGATAATTAGATATCAAATTAAATATTAAGAAAATAATAAGTATATATTAAGTAGATAATAAATATTAGTAAAGTACTATATGTATATATAAGTAGATGATAAATATATAAGTAGATATAATAATAAGTAGAGATTAAGTAGATAAGGAATATAGGTTATATAATATATATAATATATATGTAAAGTAGATAATTAGAAGATAATAAATATATATTAAGTAGATAATAAATATTAGTAATGTAATATATGTATATATAAGTAGATAATAAATATATAAGTAGATATAATAATATTTATATAAATAATATATATGTAGAGATAATTGGAGAAGATGAAGATGGAGATGAATGAAGATTTTAGAGATTGAGATTTGAGAGAATAGAGAATTAGAGAGTAGGATTGTATGAAGAAGGTGTAAAAAATGTATAGAAAATAGGAGTATAAATAGATTTTTGTTTTCTCCCCCCCACCCCCCCACCCCCCTCCAACGGCTATAGAGCCGTTTGGAGCCGTTTGACAGCCCAAAACATTTTTTTTTTAAAAAAAAGAGCCGTTAGGCCCGGACCGCCCTACCCCCGGGCCGGGTAGGCCTGGACCGCCTGAGGCCCGCTAGACCGGGTCGGGCCGGTTGCTACAGTGGCCGGGCCGGGTCGGGCCCGGTTCGGGCCGCCCGGCCCGAGTCCAGCCCTACATGTAGAATAGAGTTTTATATTGAAGTATGAATCGCATCCATTCCTTAAGATGGTTTTAAATTCTTTTTTATTTTTTCATTCTAAAGTCATTGTTACAAAATGAGCTATTATATTACTGCGTATATTTTTATTGTGAAGAATCCATAAAATGAGCTCCAGTTTTTTTTTGTTTTTTTTATGGATTCTTCAAACTATTTCCTTTGTTGGTTGATAATATAATTTTTTATTTCACTCTATTTTCTTGTTTTGAAAATGCTACCTCCTAGAAAGTACCACAGATCTCATATATTTTATCTTTGATATAAAATTCACTTGGAGTGGGAGCATATATTAGTGAAACATTACGGTATTTTTTAAGGGATAATATTCTTTAAATACGCTTATTTGTATTACTAATATTTTTAAGGGATATATTAGTGAAACATTACGTTATTTTTAAGGTACAATATTCTTTAAATACGCTTATTTGAATTTCTGTACAAATATTACTAATATTTCTAAGTGTTTTTCATAAAATACGTATTTTTTTTATATAATATTGCTTACTACTAAAAGTATGTATGGAATAATTTCAATTTTAATTTCTACTTTTAAAGGTGAAATAGTTTGAGCAAGCAATGTGATTCTGGACCATAACCTATAATTTAAATGCGTGCGTATGTGTTTCTTTTAGTTAGATATCAATAAGAATAATTATTTGTTTCACAAGTTTTGTATTTTTTAAAATACAACCAAAATGTCATACATAGTCATAGACTCATAGTTATTTAAATGAGAACTGAGAACTGAATGTTTTTTTCTGGTCGATATATAAGAATATTCATTTATCAATTTAGACAATTTAGAGCTTGTCTATAGAGTCTCAGCTGAGACATCACGTTAGTCTCCTATTTCTGTCTTGTCCTAATTTCTCCCACGAGCATTCCATATCTCTGTGTGTTAATTCTACCCACAAAATCAGCAATTATCATTAACGATTCTATCTAAGTTGAGCGTATAATTCAATAAATGTTTTTCCAAGTTAAGTACCAATTCATTTTTTTAAACTATTTCTTTTTTATATATAATTTCGTTTCTACTGTGTTTCTTGATTTTGTTTGTTGCCTTGATGGGGAGTCACATCAATTTTGCTTGGTTTAACATTACACTTCGCAAATTTTGTAAGCATGGCAGCTATGTCTTACTACGTATTTTCCAAATGAAAGCAGAAGACAGATATTTCAGTTCTCACTTCACTTCTCTCCATATCCTTGTATGCATATTCGGTATATCTGAGTAGGATACTTTCATTTGAATGGTACGAATTATAGCAACTATTTAACCACCTTGAAAAATACTCCGTAAGATATATTTTGAATTTGAAGATCAAATGTTCATATGCCAACATAATCATCATTTTTATTTGCAAATTCTGACTTTGAAGAGTTCACTCTGAAATACAGTTAAGATGTTCAGTTATTTATGTGTTAAAAGTGTATTGGAAAATGATAAGCATAATATAAACAATAGAAGTCATATACTTCATATTTCATAAACACTTGTTAGATGTTTTTATTCTGCAAACATTAGAATAGAAAAGTACATGTTTAAATACACCATATATAAGCCTCACTCTTTTTTTTTGAAGAAATATAAGCCTCACTCTCTTACTTCTCTATTTGCAAATATTGATCCAATGCGTTGACAACTTCTAATGTCAAGCCAAGACAGAAAATCTTTTGGGTTCAAAGAGATGTCACACATGAGTTGCCACATGACTTCTATTGTTGTAGAGTACCCTGAAGAGAGCTTCCTATTCATATATGAAGGTTACTCATGTTCTAGTGTGCTCTTCAGTAGTTCAGTGTTTAAAAATTGCATATGGAAACTCAATAGGCTCCCGAAATTTATACACCGAGAATGCTATGTAAAGTGGCTATTCGTGTTCCAGCGTGCAGTTTACTGTTCGAAAATTGCATATTCCCAAGGCTAGCTAATTAATAACTATGGCGTCCATATGCATAACTTGTAACCAAAACATTGAAACAAACTGTTAGTGCATTAATTGAGAGCATCATTCATTCGATCAATTCAATGTATCAAGACAGATTTGCTATTGTATTAAATGAAATAATAATCCAATGCATTCTCTGTAGGCATAGCAAAATGGTCTTGCAGTACATTTGGGCGGGAATACTGTTCAAAATCAATTTGCTATTTGCTACTCCCTCCGTCCCCTTTTATATGTCCCGTTTTATCATATTGGGATGTCCCTATTTAATTGCCCCATACCTTATTTGGTAAACTTTGTGTGGCTCAAAATCATTCTTACTTTATTCTTACTTTATCAATTAATATCAACCACACAAACTCACTTTTCTTAAGGGGTTTTTACTTGGATATTACTAATTTTGAACCAAATACCCAAAAAGTGACCAGTTTTAAAAAGAGACAAAAAAGTGATCAAGAAGGTCATATATGTGCAATTAGAAAACATGATGTAACTGCAAAAATTTTATGTCACTGCTTGTTCATTTTTTGTAACTACAACCACCACCCATGTCACTGTAGCCACCGCCAGTGTCACTGTAGTCACCGCCCGTGTCACTGTAGCCACCGCTCGTGTCACTGTAGCCACCGCCCGTGTCACTTTAGTCACCGCCCGTGTCACTGTAGCCACCGCCCGTGTCACTTTAGCCACCGCCCGTGTCACTTTAGCCACCGCTCATGTTACTTTAGCCACCGCCCGTGTCACTTTAGCCACCACCCGTGCACCCCACCCCCTCCCCTGCACCCCCGGCCCCCTCCCCTGCACCCCCAGCCCATCCCCTCCACCGCCGACACCGCCCAACTACCGCCGCTGCACCGCTCCACTGCCTAGCCCCACCGGCCACAGCCCCCGGCGACCACCAGCCCTGCTGCCCAGCAACCCAAACCCATTGCCCACCACTCCAAACCCATCCCACCAGCCCAGGTGTCCACCACCCCCACCTGCACCCTCCCCAGCCAGCCAAAGCCCCTCCCCTCCTCTGTCAACCCCAGCCCCCTTTCACAGCGGCCAACTACGTATTAAGTCCACCTTTTGACCCTAGCCCCTTCCCCAACCGCCTCACCATCACCCGGAACACAAGCAGTCCAAATTTACCCGCGTCGCCGCTCCCCTGCCACCTCGCCGCCGCATCGCCGAACGCAGATCTCAACCCCTAGCACCAAGACCTGCGACAACCAAGCAGATCTCAATGACCGGAAGTGAGTTCAGCGATGGAGGAGTGATGAAGATCAATCGATCGATCCTTGCTGTGAGTTGGAAGATGGAGGACGATGGAGATCGATCGATCCTTGCCGTGGGTTGGACGATGGAGATCGAAGGATCCTTCTTCCCAGCAGCGTTCGATTTGTTGATGGGGAGAGAAGCTGTCGTCCATGGGTTTCGTGCGCAGAGCGGATGAAGGAGATGCGGAAGTTTTTCGAGAAGAGAAGTCGTAGATTAGTCACTGTTTTGTCAAAATCTAATTCAATCATGTTTTTGTGTTATGAAAGGTGTGACGTAATAATTGTGCCATTATTTCTTTTCTTAAACCCGTGCCACCATCTCCCGTCCAATTAAAAGGGGACGGAGGGAGTATTATATTATACTCCCTCCATCCCGAAAAACAACCTCCCGGTTTGACCTACACACATATTTAGGAAATAAATTTGACTTTACTGTAGAGTGCACTGTTTGGCACTATTTAAACACTGTTTGGCACTTTTTAAACACTGTTTGGCACTGTTTTTCACTTTTTTGATGTAGATAATTTGCCAAATAAGGAAAGTATTGAAGTGGGAAGTTAATTTTGGGACATCCATTTAAGGAAAGTGGGAAGTTGTTTTTGGGACGGAGGGAGTAATAGATAATAGATTATCCAAAAAAACCTTGTAGCAAAATAGTAGGAAAATGAACATTCGGCTGGGTCGGCTACTATTGGGGTTGAGAATTCAATTCCGCAACCCTGCCATTAAGTGCGGGTTCGTACATATTTAACACATGAATATTTTTTAAAATCAAATACCGATTAAATAGGGTTGGGTAAGGTTGGGTCGGGCTGGTTATGCGGGTTCGTATTATTTTGTGCAGCCCTACTTTCAATCCTTGACCGCCCAGCGCTATCAAAGTGGCAAAGAGAACTCTGAATGTAGTTTTGGAACAGCAAGAAGATCAATGGCATGACTATCTATGGGTCTCGCCTGCTTTTTGTGGATCTTTGACACACTTTCAGCGTGATCTCCCTGCACGGGTAAATAGTGCTCTACCAAAACGGAGCCAGAGAGGGAGACCCCTCTAGATGTGGGTTTGGAACAGCTAAGAAGCATGCCTGAAAAATGAAGAAATTGAATGGCTTTCCCGGGCACTTTTTCGGTTGGTCATGGAGACAATTATCACCGGGTAACGTCCATTTACCCATCCCTTCTTTAACTCCTCCTGCAGTTTTTATGATGTTCCTGTTGTGCCGAAAATTCAAGATACTTACTCTCGACTCAGTAAATCTAAGTTTGCGAGTATTATTAAGCTGGACGAGACCTCGTCCTCCCATCGTGAAATTCAACCACCTCTTGAATGCTGTTGTCAATATGGGTTGTTACCTTGAGACTGTCTCTCTATTTCGAGATTTTTTTTGTTTCCGGCCTTCTGATAGATGAATTCACACTGAACATTGCTGCCAATTTCCTTGCCCGTTTGCACAAAGTAGATTTTGCATTTGCTATTTTAGGAATCCATTTCAAGCTGGGTCTAGTACTTGATGTGATTTTGTTCAGCACCTTACTGAAAGGGCTTTTTCTGCACCACAGGCTTCAAGATGCTGTTTGGTTGTTCCAGAAAGTTATCAAAAAAATTCATCAAAAAATTCCACCGGGAACCGCCCCAAATGGGAACATCCGGACAGTAAATAAGGACTTATTTGACCCTTTTTATGCAATTTCGAGGACAGATAGCATTACCACGGACTACAGCATTCAATATTACCTTCTAAGCAAACCTCCGTCCTTATATAGCTATTCCTTAGTTGCAGACTTGCTGCGCACATTCAACTGCATGGTAAGCAATGAAAAAAAATACAAATACACGGGCTGATGGTGCAGTTAATAGCCTTTTCATCCCCTATGCAAACATCTTTCGACTAAAACATCAATACTCATACTAGGAATATATCAAAACTCCAAAATATTCAGAACTAAAATAATATAGTTACATTTTAGGGCCCTAAATTTGACATGCTAGTCCCATTAAGCCTCTGAACTTCTAACTTTTTAAGTGGGCCTATTGACTAGATCATTCGTAAACTTCAACCAATTAAACCTCATTTGTAGCTCTGTCGAGTTTGTGTAGTCATGTAGTTTCACACGCAAATTTTCACCACTTGCACAACCCACACCATATCCCATATGTACCAAATGAGTTTAGTGCATTGGCATAATAATGCCCATAGGCTTCAAATCAGGCATGTCAATAATCAGGCTTGTTAATCGCAGGCTCACTGTCAAGGTAAGTCGTTCAGATCCCTGTCACAGTCTGAAGAATGAATGGTTTTAGTTGAGGATTTTTCCAATTTTTCCAATTTCAAGAGCATAATTCTATATGTTTTTGTAGGAGCGGCAAAAGTACGTATCTTCAACAAGTATGTCTCATTGTCATTCTTGCTCAAATTGGATGCTATGTACCTGCACGCTTTGCCAATTTGAGGGTTTTTGGTCGCATATTCACACTGATGGGAACTCCTGGAACTGTTGACTGTCTTGAGTATAACTGTAGCATAGTATGAGCTTCTAGAGTACTAAACCATATTATTATGTGTATTTGTTGATTCATTAGAAAATATTGAATAATTCATATAACTTTTATCTTTGCATAGCGGTTGTGCATCTTCAGAGTCATATTCAGAAAAGGGGAGGGGAGGGAGGAAAACAGGAGAGGTCAGGAATAAACTTTAGCTCCTCAACTAAAACCATTCATTCTTCAGACTGCAATAACAGGGATCTAAACGACTTGCCTTGACAGTGAGCCTGCGATTAACAAGCCTGATTATTGACATGCCTGATTTGAAGTCTATGGGCATTAATGTGCCAATGCACTAAATTCATTTGGTACATATGGGATATGGTGTGGGTTGTGCAAGTGGTGAAAATTTGCGTGTGAAACTACATGATTACACAAACTCGACGGAGCTGAAAATGAGGTTTAATTGGTTGAAGTTTACGAATGATCTAGTCAATAGGCCCACTTAAAAAGTTAGAAGTTCAGAGGCTTAATGGGACTAGCGTGTCAAATTTAGGGTCCTAAAATGTGCCAATGCTACTTTCGTTTTGAATATTTTGGAGTTTTGATATATTCCTAGTATGAGTATTGATGTTTTAGTCGAAAGATGTTTGCATAGGGGATGAAAAGGCTATTAACTGCACCATCAGCCCGTGTATTTATATGGAAAGATAAACTCAAGATGATTGATTTTTTTTTCATTGCTTACCATGCACTTGAATGTGCGCAACAAGTCTGCAACTAAGGAATGCTATATAAGGATGGAGGTTTGCTTAGAAGGTAATATTGAATGCTGTAGTCCGTGGTAATGCTATCTGTCCACTTGATGACTCAACAGAAGTACTTTATTCTTCATTCTTTTCAAACTACTACTATATTTATTTAAAAGACACTCCCTCCTTTACTGTTGTACAGAGCTAATGGATGTTATACGGCAGGATGTTTCCATGCTCACACTTCTTTCTGAAGTCCTATGCCTTTTAGACATGGTAGTTAACTCATTTGCTCATATGATTTCAACAAAACCTGTTGATCGATATATTAGACCTCAATTCACATGTAAGTATTGTGGTAAGGTACTGTAGTATCTATTTGTATAAATTCACTTGGATAAATCAGTGAATGTATATGTTGATTGAACAAAATATTTACATAGGGGGTTAAATAGAAAGTACATGAAGTTGGTCAAGGTTTTTATTGTTCTGACTGTTTTCTTGTAGGTGATGGTCCATTAGCAATTGATTCTGGCAGGCACCCCATTATAGAAAGCATACACAATGATTTCATTGTAAAATATCTCTTTATTTACTTCACTTGCCTGGTTGAGTTTCTTTATTTTCTGAACTTGAACAAAAAATGATTATATGTTTCTCCTTTACAGCCCAATAATATATTTCTATCTGAAGCATCAAATATGGGAATCGTGATTGGGCCTGACATGTAAGAAATCCTACATGGCTACAATTGAAATGTCTATTATTTGGCATGACTATTACAAAGTTGCTCATATTCAAAAAACTGAATATTGTAAGGTTAGGTGTTAAACCATTAAATGAATCTGCTTAGAGTATCTTAATTATGATTTTGGTTTAGACGCATTTTTCCAATTTCCAGAGCATAATTCTATATTTTTTGTAGGAGCGGCAAAAGTACATATCTTCAACAAGTATGTCTCATTGTCATTCTTGCTCAAATTGGATGTGCACGCTTTGCCAATTTGAGGGTTTTTGATCGCATATTCACACGGATGGGAACTGCTGACTGTTTTGAGTATAACTGTAGCACAGTATGAGCTTCTAGAGTACTATATCATGTTATTATTTTGTGTACATGTTGATTCATTAGAAAATATTGAATAATTCATATAACTTTTATCTTTGCATAGCGGTTGTGCTTCTTCAAAGTCATATTCAGAAAAGGGGAGGGAAGGGAGGAAAACGGGAGAGGTCAGAAAGATGCTATGTTTGGTTGAATGGATCAAGGAAGAAATATTATTTTAAAATAGTATATGAAGTTGTTATTTTTGAACATTATTGTTGCAAGGCTAAAGGGTCAAATAGGCCCTTGAACTAACTTAAAGTGTTCAATTAGCCCCTTATATAGGAGGTTCAGCCCGGCCATCGCCAATTGGGGAGGTTCCCGGTTGAATTTTTTGATGAAATTTTTTGAGCATCTTCTTTATTAAATCTAATTTACCCATATCAAATTTCAGCTAAAAATTAAATCGGGAAGGCAGTCAAATGTTTTTCCGAAATGTACTGCTGTTTAACTGCGCAGTTATCTATAAAAAATCATTTGACTGCCTTCCCGGTTGAATTTTTAGCTGAAATTTGGTATGGGTATACCAGACTTAATGAAGAAGATGCTCAAAAATTTCATCAAAAAAATCCACCGGTAACCACCCCAATTGGCGACGGCCGGGCAGAACCTCCTATATAAGGGGCTAATTGAGCACTTTAAGTTAGTTCAAGTAGAGATGGCAATTTCGGCCGACCCATTGGATACCCGCACCGAACCGATTTGGTCAAACTGGGGAAAACCGGTTTGACTGGGGAATGGGTACGGGGCGGGGAATACCCGAATTTTTTAAATGGTTAATGGTGCGGTTATGGTTCTATACTAATTCGCCCCGTTATCCGCCCCGAAACCGCCCCAAAACCGCCCCGTTCACTAATGGTGCGGGTACCCGCACCGTTACCCGATCCGTAACATTATTAATGAATTATAACTTTTTATATATAAGAATAATAAGTATATATGCTAAATTGTGTATACTAAATATTATATATACAGAGTACGAGTGTCATATAAATAATGCTAAAAAGTATACTACGAGTACTTTTTTAGGCCTAAAACTAAATATAGGCCTAAACTTGATTTTGGAATTTGGATTCTGGATTGATTACTATTTTTTTATTATGTTACAAGAGATATTAGGTGCATGTCATACTAATGAATTTAGGCCAGTCTGTTTGATTGCTTAAATATTTACTTTTGTATGTTTTAGGGTGCTTTGAATATATAAATAACAAATAGGATTAGAAATTGGTTATTTATTTTCCCAAAAAAGTAGTTTTATGGTATCATTTGGGGAAACGGTTACCCGTGGATAAACCGATTCCCCGTTGGGGCGGGTACGGTTCAAATAAAAATTATCCGAATGGGTAATGGGGCGGTTTTGGGGCAAACATTTATCCAACGGGGCGGTTTCGGTTTTATGTGTACCCGGCCCCGATCCGCCCGTTGCCATCACTAAGTTCAAGGGCCTATTTGACCCTTTAGCCTTGTTGCAATTAAAAGTATAGAAAGTTAGATACCTGTATGTACAAACGTAATAGTGTATTTGCACTATTTTGATAAAAAAAAAGTTGAAAAGGCAATAAAGAGAAAACAAATTAACTACTCCGGAAGACCCAAAAAAGAGGGAGTGTGACATATGAGGAGTTTGGAAGAGTCTATACCTCGTACACTTTCATTGCCTTCCCCCATAGCTTTCCCAAATCCCAACCAAGCACGTAGCACTCTTCCACTTTCATTTTCTTGCTTCAACCAAACGAGGCTTTAATGTTTATTGTGGATTAACATCAGAAATGTTAGCTCACATAATGATATGCAATTAGAAGTACTTGACCAAGATCCCAACTATCTGTGTTCTCTTCTATTTAGTAATACCTCTGTCCCATTGGACTTTGCCAAATTTCCCTTTTTGATTGTCCCAAAAAAATTTGTCAGTTTTCTATTAAAGCAACTAATTTGTGGTTCTGCACATTTCTCTCACATTTCTCTCTCCTATGCACAAATCTCAATCACACAATTTTTACTTTTCTTATTTCTCACCTACTTTGCATTTGGCGAAGTCCACCGGGACGGAGGGAATATTTATTAATCCTAAATTTTCCATGTCAAAAGATAACACACGTTTAATACTTCTATGTGATTTGCCTATGCAGTTCATGACTGAGATGAAAGAGACAGCTTTTATAGTGCAAAACATCTCTGAAAGGTGTATTGATCCCCCACTAATCATCTTGTTAATGATCAGAAAAGAGTTTGTATTTGTTAATATTTTAATTGTAAACAACTTAAAAGTTAGTTCTTGAGTGCAGAAGTCTTGTTGTGATGGATGAGTTGGGGAGAGCAACATCTTCGTCTGATGGATTTGCAATGGCTTGGAGCTGCTGTGAGCATATAATGGCACTAAAAGTGTAATATCTCTACGCCATTTAATTAAAGCATGAAGAGCATTCTTGTGTTTGAGGATGAAAGGCATCTAGGATCACTCTTAGCAATTTCTATGGTCCCCTGGATTACGTTTCCTTAAACTGCACCAAGCATCATGATGTAACCACCCCCCATCTTTGTACATATATTAGTTAATATTCGCCAATCTCCACTTCATTAAAATATGTTGGGTTTCCACTTCTCAGAAAGTATTTATTGGACCTTGGAATATGAGTACAACTTGCAGAGAGCCTAGGTTAATGTATACTGTCTGTCGATTTGTACTCCTTTCATATACTCACTCAGTCCAAAACAGACCTGTTTGTTCTTTATCTCAAAGGGAAAAATGTGGTTTTAAAAGATTGCTTTCATTTTAAGTAAAAACAATTCTCTGTAGCAAAGCAGCAAGCCATTTTAGTAAATTTCCCCAAACTATCATGGCAATAAGTATATAGCGGTATAGTTGAGCTTTCCTAAATACTAAGGTTCTTACATTGATTAAGCTAGCTAATAATAAAAAGCTGAACTTTGAAACGTCTGTTTTTTTTTTTGGGGGGGGGGGGAGTATGTTAGATCCTTTTTTTAAATTTCTTGTCGCTGATCAGCATAGGACCCACTAGGTGTTGAATAATAGATGCATTTCAATGACAAGCTGCAGAATCTTCTTTTCTACTTGTAGAGTTGTATACCAGAAAATAAAGTTTAATCAACTTTGTCCTAGTCTTTTTTCAGGTATACTATGAGGCCGTTTGGAACACTGTTTTTCGGCTTATCAGGCTTATCAGCCAACTTTTTCACCAAACACGTAACTTTTGCTTTCGCGTGCTGAATTGTGTAATAAGCAGAAAAAGTAAGGTTGGAGTTAATTTTCTGGCTGTAATGGCTGAAGTTACTGTAGAAGAACATTTTAGCTATTTTTACATATAATTTTTTCTTTATTTTATTAATAAAATATACATAAAGATATTTTTTTCTTAAATCAGCAGAATCAGCTAATGCAGCTACTTCAGCCAGAACTTCATAAATTTCAGCAGAATCAGCCAAAACAGCCGATTTTCATGCTACCAAACGGGCTCTATATTTGCTACCCATATGGAAAATCTTTCAGAGCTTGCCACTCTCTACCCAAATGTGAAAATTCTTCATTTTCATGTTGAGGTGAAATACAACCAGATGGATTTCAAGGTAAACGTCTAACTTTGCTTACTCCCTCCGTCCCAGGGAGAAGTTCCCGGGTTGACTTTCACACATATTAAGGAAATAAAGTTACTGAGGGGTAAATTTTACTGTTTGGCACTGTTTCGACACTGTTTGGCACTGTTTCGACACTGTTTGGCACTGTTTTGCATTGTTTGGCACTATTTTTATGTAGGATAACTTTCCATTTAAGGAAATGAGAACTTTTTGTTGGGACTGCCAAAAAAGGAAATTGGGAACTTCTCCCTGGGACGGAGGTAGTATTTTTTAAAATCTTATATCCATGTGCATTTACATTGTTATAATGACATACTGCTTTTTCCATGCTTCTATCAACTGAAAGATGGAAAATGTCATGTGCCACATTATGGACTGATGCTAGCAGGAGTGGCTGGGTTACCAAGTTCAGTCATTGAAAGTGCCAAAAGAATCACATCTACTATAACACAGAAGGTGGTCTCTCACTCATCTAGTCATCTCTCAATCATTTCTTTAATGGTTCAAAGTAAGAGTTTCAAATATGTGTGTGTGTGTGAGTGAGTGAGTGTTTATGTACTGCACACACACATATAATCCACCATATGCATACAGTCCATTCAATGGTTTATTATGTAACTCATCCGGACATCCACTGAGAAGTTTGAATCCAATTCATTAGTAATTTTAGTCATTCATTGGTTTGCATAAAAATCTTTGTAGTACATCAGATCCATTAAAATTTTCACATTCATTTAGAAAAATATGCCAAGTCAATGGCACCATATCAACTAAGAGGAATATGTGCAGCTGACATTCATAAAAAAGGACGGAGTAAAAATGGAACTGATATGCAGCTGTACAGTTATAGTAAATGGATCGATCTTTTGTCTGATGAATGGGTGGCTTAATCGATTGATCCATGTGTCATCCCTTACTTGAAAAATCTCAACATATACTTTGAAAAAAGCCTCCCATTTGTGTGTGTGTGTGAGTGTTTATGTACTGCACACACACATATAATCCACCATATGCATACAGTCCATTCAATGGTTTATTATGTAACTCATCCGGACATCCACTGAGAAGTTTGAATCCAATTCATTAGTAATTTTAGTCATTCATTGGTTTGCATAAAAATCTTTGTAGTACATCAGATCCATTAAAATTTTCACATTCATTTAGAAAAATATGCCAAGTCAATGGCACCATATCAACTAAGAGGAATATGTGCAGCTGACATTCATAAAAAAGGACGGAGTATAAATGGAACTGATATGCAGCTGTACAATTATAATAAATGGATGGATCTTTTGTCTGATGAATGGGTGGCTTAATCGATTGATCCATGTGTCATCCCTTACTTGAAAAATCTCAACACATACTTTGAAAAAAGCCTCCCATTTGTTGAACTTCATCTTTATTTGGAAAACTTTGGCATCAGAATTGTTAGATTCTATTAAATTTAGTACATACTAGTATTCATTAAGAGCCATCCACAAAGAAAATGGAATGAAAAACAGGAAATGCCTTACCATTTTTCACTTGTGCCAGAAAGCAAAGAGAATGGAGGTGAATTGCCAACAAAACAACGACTTTCAAATGATCTACCGTGTTGTGCAACGGCTCATTTGCTTGAAGTATTCCAATCAAAATGAAGATTCTTTGAGGGAATCTTTGCAGAATCTTAAAGTGTTGTATTGGTGGAAGTGTTTAAAGTTCAGTTCATTAAGTTGTGTCTAATGTCATCTCAAATACTATTTCAGCATTGTGACTTTGTATATGAGTATCAAAACAGAAATGAACTGAAAAATATACCAACTACTTCGCACAAAGAAAGGTTGTACTCAATTTGTTAGGTTCAGTCTGGATGGAAGGTTTGAGTGAGACTTCGTAAGGGTTAAATTAGTTTATCCTGTTAAATATTGAGATAATGCTTCTAATATACTACGTATATTAGAACTGTTCATACGTCACTGTTTTGTTGAATTCATACGTCACTGTTTTGCATTGTTTTGGTGTAAATTTGTTTGTCAAATAAGGTGTAAACTTGTTTGGGACATCCAGAAAAGGAAAGTGTAAAGTTAAATAAGAACCGGAGGGAGTAAATGATTACTAAAGTAGGAAACTGGTTGTAGAGAGAAAATGCTCATGTATATCACGAGTATCATGCAATCATGCATCATATCAGTGTACATACTAGTATGATGTCAACAAAACCTTTTTTCGATATATTGGACCTCAATTGACATTAGACAATTACTATGATTTCATCATTACTCTAGTAATTAGTCATATTTTTGTAAATCATCTTTATTTTGGTCATTTTTATGTAATTATTTCTTAAATAATACGGTAAGGTGCTATAGTATCTATTTCTATAAATTCACTTGGATAAATCTGTGAGTGTGTATGTTGATTGAATGAAATAATTACAGAGGATTAAATAGATTTAAACTTTAAAGTCCATGAAAGAGGGTCAAGGTTTTAGTTGTTCTAAATGTTTTCTTGTAGATGATGGTCCATTAGAGATTGATTCTGGCAGGCACCCCATTCTAGATATGGGTGGACTCGGTTCGGGCCGGGCCCGGTTCGGGCTTTGAACCGGCCGGGCCTCGGTTCACCAAAAGGAGGGCCCGGACCTGAACCGGTGGCTCCCGGTTCCGGGCCGGTTCCGGGCCAGACCGGGCCGGTTCCGGGCCAGACCGGGCCGGTTCCGGTCCGGGCCACCCGTGTCATAATTTTTTTTTTGCTTCTCTTATTTAACCCCCTATCCCTCCCCCTCAACCCCAAACCACCTCAAATGGCCTAAAATACCTAATCCAACCCAAAACTTAAAAAAAATTCAAAAAAAAATTCAAAAAAAAAAAATTCCGGCCCGGACCGGGCCCGAATCGACCGGGCCGGTTCACCAAATGGAGGGCCCGGGCCCGAAACCGGTATCCACCGGGCCGGTTTGACCCGAACCGCCATTGGACCGGGCCACCGGGCCGGGCCGGTTTCTACAGTGGGCGGGCCGGGCCGGTTTCGGGTCGGGCCGCCCGGCCCGAGTCCACCCCTAATTCTAGAAAGCATTCACATTGATTTCATTGTATTATATCTCTTTATTTACTTCAATTGCCAGCTTGAGTTTCTTTTTCTTTTATGAACTGGAACAAAAAAGATTATATGTTTCTCCTTTTCAGCCCAGTAATATATTTGTGTCTGAAGAGCATCAAATATGGGAATTGTGATGGCTCCTAACATGCAAGAAATTCTACAATTGAAATGTATATCATTTGGAATGGGGGACCCGGAACCAGCCCGGGTAACCCCCGATTCCAAGTCGGGCGCACTCGGGCCGGGCCGGGCCTTAGCTATATTTTTTTTCTTTTCTTTTCCTAGTTAACCCCACACCCTCCCCTTCACCCCCAAACCACCCCCAATGGCCCAAAATACCCAGCCCAACCCGAAAAAGTAAAAAAAAATTAAAAAAAAAAATTAAAAAGGCCCGGAACCGGGCCCGAACCGGCCAGGCCGGTTCATGATTTGGGGGCCCCGAGCCCGGACCGGTCACTGACCGGTCCACCCGGCCCGACTCCACCCCTAGTTGATTGTAGGGGTGGACTCGGGCCTCCGGTTCAGGAATGGGGGGCCCAGAACTGACACGGGTAACCCCTGGTTCCGGGTCGGGCCGGGCCTTGGCTATTTTTTTTTTTCTTTTCTTTTCCTAGTTAACCACTTAACCCCCAACCCTCCCCCTCACCCCCAAACCACCCCAAACCACCCCAAATGGCCCAAAATACCCAGCCAAACCCGAAAATTAAAAAAAAAAAATAAAAAGGCCCGGAACCGGGCCCGAACCGGCCGGGCCGGTTCATGATTTGGGTGGCCCGAGCCCGGACCGGACCCCCAGCGGGTCGGGCCTACCCGGACCGGTCACTGACCGGGCCGGAACAGTGCCGATTCAGGCCGGTTCCGGGTCGGGCCACCCGGCCCGAGTCCACCCCTAGTTGATTGTGGTTAAACCATTAGATGAATCTGCTTAGAGTATCTTAATTATGAATTTGGTTTAAACGCACTTTTTCCAGAGCGTAATTCTATATGTTTTCGTTGGAGCGGAAAAGTACATATCTTCAACAAGAGAACTGCTTTTGACCTGATTGCCAATTTGAGGTTTCTTTGATCACATATTCATTCATATGAGAACTGCTGATTGTCTTCAGTATAACTGTAGCATGATAAGACCTTCTACAGAAAATATCATGTTCCTATTTTGTGTATTTGTTTCTTTATTCATTAAAAAATATAGAAAAATTCATTTAATCTTCATAGTCATATTCAGAAAAGGGGAGGGATAAAAACGGTAGAGTTTAGAAACATGCTATGTTTGGTTGAATGGATGAAGGAAGAAATATTATGTTAGAATAGCATATGAAATTGTTTTTTTGTGAACATGAATGTGGTGATTAAAAGTATAGAATGTTAGATACCTTTATGTACAACCATAATAGTGTATTTTGATTAAAAAAACATGAATACGCAGGGACGGGAAATGAGCTTTCGACATTGGGGAGCCTTACTAATTGCCCTCTTTTCCTTCATTTGCCCCCTCAATTTTCGTAAATTTAGATCCTTCTGCGTTAATTAGACGAGGTAAGGTTTTCATCCCCTTGATTGTATCTTGTTATTAATCTTTTTAATAAAACAAAAATTAGTTAAAAAAAAACTTGAAAAAGCAATAAAGAGAAAACAAATTAACTCCTCCGGAAGACCCCAAGAGGGAGTGAGATATGAGGAGTTTGGAAGAGTCGCTCATACACTTTTGCCCCTCCCCCCGTAACTTCCCCAACCAAGCACAGAACACTCTTACTCTTTCCTTCTCTTGCTTCAACCAAACGAGGCTTTAGTGTTTAGTGTGAATAAACATCAGAAATGTTAGCTATTATAATGATATGGAATTAGAAGTACCTGACCAAGATCCCAACTATCTGTGTTCTCTTGTACAGTTATACTACCTCCGTTCTTTTCTAGTTGCAGCATTGGTGAATTTCACACCACTCACACATATTCAACTTTGACTACATTTTATTTATTAATGTATTACACCAATACATTTTATTTAAAAGTGAATTTTTTAGAGTTAAATACCTTTAATACCCTTTATTTTTAAAACTGGGGAGGGGGGTTAGAACCGGTCATTGTACAATAAAAAGGAAGAGGAATAGTAAAAAGCAAAAAGTGATATGATTGTTTTCTTTTCCATTTCCCAGCTGAGTTCAAAGTTTTCGGTCCTACAGTACATGACTGAAATAAATAGGCCAACTTTAGCCAATCAAACCTAAGATTAAAAATGGAGGGAAATTTTGAGTTTCCCCCCAAAAAAAATTTCCATTACACTACATAAGACTCCATAATAGTCCAAGGAAGCCGTTATGTCTACAAAAAGCCTTTATTTCTCCTCTACCTGCTTCTCCCCTCACGAGTGGAAGACTTTTCCGCATGGATTCTGCAGCCTTTACAAATACCTAAGAAATTGTGTTAGTGAATGTACATGAGCCTATAAATGGTTGAGCACGGCCACATGCCAGGTAAAGTGGGAAGGAAAAGCATACACTATGATAAAAATTTAATTGTAGTCATCCCTTTACACAAAAGAACAACCATCATGTCTCTTGGTATGGCATTGAGATTGTCCAAGAACACAACACACAGACTGGTTAAGGCATGTAGGGTTAGAAGTCATACAAATGTCATTAAGCCACCACTGAATGATGGGAATAAACTGAAGAGGATGGAGTACTGTCTAAAATAGCTTCAACCAAACTCTATTCCCAACCATCCCAGATTTCAGTAATTCTCAAATGTTTTTTATATTGATGAAAAATGGTTTTTCATGACAAATACAGCACAAAGATTTTATTTGGGTGCCTAAGAAGAAGATCCATACAGGTTTTGCAAATAAAAAAGATTCATTACCAAAATCATGTTTATGTGTGCTCTTGCCAAGCCTGTATTTGGAGAGGGGGGAGGGGTACTATGGGATGGGAAAATTGGAATGTTCCCTTTCACAGAAAGTAAGCCAGCACAAAGAAAGTCAAAGAATAGGGATGCAGATGTATTGGAGACCAAGACACTTAACAGTATAACCAAAACAGTTGTGAAAGACATGTTAATCCATGAGATAATTCCTGCTATTAAGCAGAAGTAACAAACACATCATGATACAACAAGATAATGCAAGGCCCCAAATTGATGGCGATGATGAAGAATTTGGATTGGCAGCCACTTCAGACAACTTCATAATAGAGTTAGTCAATCAACCTCCTAATTCCCCAGACTTGAACATTCTTGACTTAGGCTTTTTTAGGGCTATACAGTCTCTAAAAGATCGGGCAACCCCTAAAACAGTGCCTCAACCAATTGAGGCTGTTCATCAAGCTTATGATGAGTTAAGTGCAGAAAAGTTGGACAAGGTATGGGTCACCTACCAAACAGTAATGCAAGAGATACTTAAGGTGAGGGGGGGGGGGTAACTACAAGGTGCCCAAGGTGCCATACATTGGGAAAGATCACCTAGCAGCACAAGGACAGCTACCAAGGTCAGTGTTTTTAGGCAAAGTAGTGTATGATGATGCAATTGCAGAACTGCAGCTAAGGACAACACATGTTGGGCAGTCTACACAAGACACTGGTAATACCCTGTTCACTGGTGAAGTTGAGGAGGAGGATCCACACCTTCATCACTGAACAGGGGTCCAATTCATTATTTTTGTGTAAATGTTAGGCACCTTACCTCATATGGGACATTTCATTACTTGTTTTGCTTCAGTAGTACACATTTTGGACAGGGGTATAGGGTGTTATGTGTGAAAGACTGAAAGGAGTGTTGTAATCAGTCAAACACAAGTTTTTGTATGTCTATATTAAAGTGTATTGCTTATTTCATTACCTAACCCTCTTACCAAGTATAGGCTGTGCACCCCAATACTGTATAAACCTCAAGTAAATG